CTCTCTCTCTCTCTCTCTCTCTCTCTCTCTCTCTCTCTCTCTCTCTCTCCCTCTCTCTCTATTTCGTCTTGTTTCATATGGCATTGCCCAAGTCCCGCTCCAACACACGCATCAGTGTTCTCACCGGGACGCACAAGAAGTCTCCGGCGAAGGTAGGAGGAGGCAGCAGCAATGAATCCACGAGGCTGTACCACCTCGCGTCGGCCGGCACCGGTGGCGCGCCTGGCGGGAGGCGAAGAACGCTTGGCCAGAACGTTCCGCTCGGGGGCGGAGCAGGGGGAGGGGGCGGCTACGGCACCTACCAGCCCCTGCAACCTCTCTCGAACCCGGTGGAGGATTGCCTTCGCGCCGGAGCCGCGGGGTTGGGGTGGTGCCTCCTGTCCTGGTTCACGGGCGTCGTGCTCCTGGTGCTCGAGTACGCGAAGAGGTGGGGTGCTCACAGATTGACCGCGGAACCGGAGTACGACGAATCCCCCCAGTGGCTCGTCTTCTCGCCCTTCTGGGTCGGTGACGGGCTGGCTCTGCTCGTGCTTGTGCGAGTCATGGCCAAGGTCACCAACATTAGGTTCGTGACTCCCACGCGCAGCAGAGGCGCGAGGCGCGGCGTCGCGCGCTCTCGCTCGACGGGAAGCCTCAACGATCTTTCGGGCCCCGGAAGCAGCGCTGGCGGCGGCGGCGGCAGCCGACTCGCGTGCGCGCCGATAACGCTTGACTACTTTCCGTTGCTACAGAGAGTCATCGCGACCTCGGTCGGAGCGTTCCTCGTACTGGTCGTCTTCACGACGCAGCAGGTGCTGATCTGCCTGCGGTGGGGAAGAGAGGCGGACGCACCGGGCGTGCCGCGACCACTAGTGATCGCGGCGCCGCTGCTGCTGGTCGAAGCGTTTTTCTTGTTGAGGGTGGTGCTCATCCGTACGTGTGGGTGGCTGTCCGGACTCACGTGAGTTATTTTCAAGATCTAGACTATGTAGATCTCCTCCTGTAGTACAGGAGTTGGTTGTCGACACGACAGGTAGGTATGTATACGAATGACTTTTGGGGAAAAAGATTCGCGAAACGCCCACTTGCTGGCTGCTGCTTGTTTGCCGTTCATCGGTGTCCTGTGGCTCGCTGGTCCGCGACGAAATTGTAGGTGAACTAGTATTTGCTCGCACGCCAGGAGAACGTCTTGTGTATCACAGCTCTTGTCGACCGTCTGCATACAATTTTTTAGACACATGTGCATGAACGACACACTCGAACAAGCACCTAC